CCCCCTCGTGCGCTCTCTTCCGGCTCCTCCTCCGGCCACTGATTTTGCGCCGGAGCCCGGCGCGTCTGCGCTCCCCCTGCCCGCTGGCCCCCCTTCTCACAGCGGCGGCGCCTCCAGAGCAGCCAGTGCGGTGCGGACGCGGCGGCAGCTCTTCCAGCCGGCTCCCTCCCGCTTCCCCTGCGCCTGACGAGGACGACTTCAGCAGCAGGTAGAGCCCCAGCCCCAGCGGCACCCCGAGCCGTCTCCATCCATCCCCATCCTCGGCCAGGAATAAAGGCTGCTTAGCATTGCCCAGCCTGGCTCTCCCCCCCGCCCGCTCGCTCGCCCGCCCGCTCTTGATCCAGTGGTTTCTTCCTGAGGCGAAGGGTGCGTTTGGGAGGGGGGTGGGATTGTGAAGGACAAGGGCTTGTCAGTTCCGTCCTAGGGGGACACCACTGTTGGAGGGGACTGGGGAGTCCCCCAAGAAGCAGTGCTGGAGAAGGGATGGCTTGTCAATTTGATGCATGCTTTTTCTTTATGGGGCTTTGTTCTGTGCTGGGCTCTTATTGGAGCCCGTGCAGAATCCTCCTGACAAGGGAGACAGACTGCAGCTTTGGCTTTAGTTCCTGTTAAGTTCTTTGCCTGACGGTGTTTTGGTCAGCAGCACCTGCCCCCACACTGAGGCCCCTTGCAGGTAACCCTTCCCCCAGCTGTCATCTCCCCGGGAGCCCTAGGAAAGGACCGAATCAAATGATCCAAAATAAGGGATGGTTAAGAGTTGTGCTTGCAGGAAGGGGGTGGGTGGAAGATGGAAGATCCACTGTATTACATGGAGACACGAAACACAAGAAATTCCATTTGTTTCAGTGGAGCTAAAGGGCAACCTTTACAAAATTAAGGACATTCATCTTGGTGTTCAGGGAAATGCTATCACCACTTGAGGGTCAGGCAGCAATTTTTATCCAGGCCAGTTTGGCCAGTGATCCTGGAGGTTTTTTTGCCATCTTCTGGGCATGGAGCAGGGGTCACTCGGGGTAGGGAGTTAGACTGCAGGGGGTTAGACTCAGTGACCCTGGAGGTCCCTTAAGAACATAAGAACATAAGAGAAGCCAATGTTGGATCAGGCCAATGGCCCATCTAGTCCAACACTCTGTCACACAATGGCCAAAAATACCAGGTGCCATCAGGAGGTCCACCTTCTAACTCCGTGATTCTATGACCCCTTAAAATATTATATATGGCAATCCAAAATGCCACACCTGATCCTCTTAACCCATCATCTACAACATTCATATGAAGTCAGATCTGTCTCAGAAGTAGATTCTCTGTCACACACACTCCTTTTCAGTCTGTAGGGTTCCAGTTTGTAACAGGAATCTGTCTAGACACTGACAGATTATATTAGAAACAGCTGAGAGGAATAATCTCAGTTTATCAATACAAAAATTATGGGAAGGTGCTGCAGGATGTTTTTCCTGTTTTCAGAGATGAGCTTTGAGCAGCCCTCCTCTGGGACAATTTTATGGAGCAGGAAGCAAGTGGAGGGAGATGTTAAACCCAAGGGATGTTTCAGGAGTAGATTTTTGGTGTGTTTTTTTCTCTTACTGACTCATACCCTTTGGCCACCCTCTCTGTCTTTTTTTAAAAGGTTGTCTTCCGAAGAGATGCTGGCCAAATTCCACACAGCATTTTGTGACAGTCTTTGCTGTGACCTCTTCCCCAGCTCCCTGGAAAGTGGACCAGCTTCTCCTGAGAAATATCTTTCTCTCTCTGGCACTTTCTCGATGGGTTTGTGTACTGCCAGCTGCTTAGGAGGCTGCACTCTGGCCTCTGTGTTTATGCACATATGGAGCATGCTTTGCTTCAATTATTCATCTTGGTGCTCCTGTAATTTCCTACAGTTTCTCTTCTCAAGGGAACTCCTGTGTAACATGGTTTTAACATATGCTGCATTTGCAGGGGTGTCCCCATTTGTCCACGTGGCTTTATCTAGATCTGTGTCGAGATCTTTATCTAGTCTGTATCTAGATACTCACTGCCAGGGAAATAAGGGTTCACCAATAACAGGAAAATTCATCTGGGCCAGTATAAATGCACTATAAACAGGGCTATTTTTGGGCAGGTACGCACAGGAACGGAGTTCCGGCTGGCTTCAGAATTGGCCACGCCCACTACAGCCAAAACCTCTACGTGCGTGGCTACAGAGGGAAGGCCTGGAGAGCGACCCCCCCGGTGACTCCGAGGCAGGTGGGCCTGGAAGGATCAGGGAGGCATTTAAATGCCTCCCTATGCCTTCCCCAGCCTGTCCAAGGGCCAGCTTGCCCTTCCCTTTCCTTCAAGGGGGAGGTCTTGCCCGGGCTCCCCGCAGCTGTGGGGCACCCGGGCAAGCCAAGGGAAGGCCCGGGGTGTGGCCTAATATGCTAATGTGCTGTGCTGTCAGGGGTTTGGCTTAATATGCTAATGAGTTTCTGCTGTTGGGTGTGGCCTATTATGCTAATGAGTTCCTGCTGGGCTTTTTCTACAAAAAAAGCCCTGACTATAAACACTCTCAAAAACAAAAGCCAAAAATTGTTGTGACCTGAATAGCACAGGCAAGCCTGATCTCATCAGATCTCAGAAGCTGAGTAGGGTCGACTCTGGCAAGTACTTGGATGGGAGACCTGAAATACCAGAAGTGGGAGGCAGGGGCAGACTTTTTTCAGCCACCTCTCTGAATATCATCCAGGCCCTCAGTAGGTGTCAGTCCCCAGAAGTCACTGTGACTTTCAGGCGCACACACACATATATAAAAAAAAAAAAAAAAAAAAGAAAAAAAAGGGGGGGGGGTGGATTTGCATCTCAGTGCAAGGCTTTCAGGAAGGCACATAGTAGTTATTATTTGGGAGATTCGGGGCTCACATTTTGTAAGCTGCAATACCCTTTCCAACCACCTTTTTTTCCAAATGCTCTCACTATTTCCCATGATTTCACATACAGCAGTGATGTTTTCATGAAATGACATTTTGTCCATTCTGAGAAGTATTCTCTAGACTGCAGTTCCAAACAATGCATATGCATCACTTGATGTTGTTGGAAATCCGTCCAGCTTGTGATCATTTATACCTGCATGGTCCAAAGGCAGCTGAGGATATTGAACATCATATTCTCTACTGCCTATTATAACATGAAGGAAAATATTGTTTTATTTGCCTGGCTCTTTTTGTTAAGTCAGTGCTCAGAAGATTTGTTTCCTGTTATCTGTTACACAGAAAACTGTTTTGTGTGCCATAGCTGCAGAGAAGATTCGGAGCAGGCTTATTAAATCAATGCCTATTTCCTGTCATGCACCTCATATAACTATTATGATTTCTGGCTCTTTTATTCATCACGTCAGATACTTATTTTTAGGTCTTTTGTGTTTATGATGTGTTGTTTTCACTGATGTTAGAGAGGAGTGGAGATTGTGATGACCTTTGGCTATAACAAACAAAACTGATCTACTGACAACTTAATAGCCTGTCATGACCATAAAACGATTAACAACCGCAAACCAACCACAAAACTTTAGACATCTGTGATTTTGCCCATTTTCTTCGGTCACAATTTTTAACCGCAAATCATCAGCTGAGACATTTTGGAGTTCAGTAAATGAGTAGCACATTGCATAACGCCATTAGTGTTCTCATTTGCCTGTATGAAATTTTAATAATACAAATTGGCACCTGACAGTGAAACCAATTTTTCCCATTTTTTATCATCAAATCTCAAGTTTCTGCTCACTATGTCTTTTACTCTCAAGAAGATGCACACAGACCAAATTTGATGTCCCAATATAAATTTCTCAATATAATTAAATAGATGCACATGTACTGTGCTTCCTAAATTCTGGTGTTCGATCCTCTTATATTTTTTCCTAACAAAGGAAGAAATTGTGGGAATGAAAATGTGAGGAGAAGGAAGGTAGAGAGAAATCAGAGGCTCAGCAAAAGCAGAGAATAGAATCTGTGGCAGGGACATGACAGAAGGCACTGAAACCTCACCCTCTGACCACTGCAGGTCAGTCACTGCAGTTGTGTTCTGGTTTCTGAGGGCCTTGCTAAAGAATATGAGTTAGGCTTGAGGTAGGTTCCCCATGGAAAGAATACTCACCTGAAAACAATGCTAATCTCATAGTGAATTGTCAGTAGTCCTGTATTGCTTATCTTGTTACCAAGATGGAGTCCCAAATCTGGTGAGATATATACTCTTACCAAATATGTAAGGGGGAGTAAAATGGAGGAGTGGGAAGAACCAAGAAAGTGTAAAACTTTTAAATGTTTGAAACTCACAGACACATTAAGAGGAAGAACTTCTGATGCATTGTGCTGATGACACACTCTTGAATCAAGATCTATGTCATGGTATGCTAGTTGGCTTTTTGCATTGCACTTAAGAATCTTCAGATTGTTTCAGCTATACTTTCAGCCACATGTAACCCACAGGTAGTTCCCCTGTGCAAGTTCTTTTCAGTGCCATATCTGGTATCTCAGATGTCCTATAATGTCCGTCCCCCATCTGCCCTTTCTAAGCTACTCATATGCGCCAATCAAACTGAAACACCAGAGTGGAATTCTTACTGTGTCTGATCAAAGGACTGAGGTTTCCAGTAGGAAAAACCCAGCCAGGAGCAGGAACTGATCACAGAGCTAAGCATCAAAAAGATCCATCTGGAGCACCATAATTGACTGAAAGGGCAAAGAGAGAAAACAGGGGCAAGAAACAGGCTTATTTATTTATTTATTTATTTTATTGTCAGATTTATATGCCACCCTCCCAGCCGAGGCTGGCTCAGGGCGGCTTACACAGCAATTCAAAAACACACAAATAATTTAAATAGTCCTAAAACCAAATAAAACATTAAAAACACTAATAGGTTATTAAATGATGGTGGTCAACCATCAGTGTTCCATCCTAGTGGTCAGCCCATAGGTCTAACCTTGTGCGGCCGGCACAGGCTGTTCTGATGACTTCAGGGAACAGGTTCTCCATCAGGGGCGGTTCCTAATTGAAAGCCTGGTGGAAGAGCTCCATCTTGTAGGCCCGCGGAACTGCATAAGATCCCGTGGGGCCCTGATCTCTTCTGGGAGCTCATTCCACTAGAGAGGAGCTGCCACCGAGAAAGCCCTGGCCCTAGTTATAGCAAGCCTGGCCTCCTTGGATGTGGGGAGGGCCAATCAATGGTGGGACCCTGATCGCAGTGCTCTCTGGGAA